CTTTTGAAAATGGCCCCACGTGGCTGTGAGGGGCCATCACCCGTCAGGGCGACATGGCACCAGCCAGAAACAAATGGGTGCTGGCTTAAGCTATGTTTTAGGTTCTGGACACAGTGTGGCCTGGATGGAACACACAGCAAAGGGAAGCGTTAGCACACTGTATTCATTTTCTGTTGCCGTGGAGCCAACAACCTCAAACTCAGGGACCTGAAACCACTCCCCGCTGCTAGTTCACGTCGCCGTGGGTGGGATGTTGGCCTCAGCTTGGGTGGACTCTGCTGAGGGTCTCACAGGGAGAGATCAAAGCTTGGGGTCCTGCCCCAAGTGCACGTGGCTGTCGGTAGAATTTGACTCCTTGGGTTGTACAACTGAGGTCCCCACCTTCTTGCTGGCTGTCAGCCAAGGCCGCTCTAAGCAATCAGAGACCACCACTGGCCCCATAACTCGCTCCACAATAAGACGATTTGTTTCCTCAGGACCAATGGAACATCTCAACGCTACTTCACGTGACCTCTTGACTCTGCCTCCAGACCTTCTTTTAAAGAGCCCACCTGTTTTTGCCAGGCACACTCCGGATGGCCTTCCTTTTAACTTTAGGTCAGTTAACCGTGGACCTAAAATACATCTGCAAACTTCCCTCCCCTTTGCCATATAAGGTAACCTAATCATGGGAATGCCACCCCAGCATGTTCAGGTATCCCACCCACCCTCATTCAAGGGGAGGGAGTCATATAAGGCACGGTCCGTGGGGGTCATCTGAAAACTCTGCCAACCACAGACAGTTAAGAACATATTCTGATGAATATTAGCTCTAGAAAATTTTGGACACATCCAAAGCTATCCATCAAATTCTTCTTTGCTCCCAAATAAAATAACCTTGTCCCGAATATTGTAAAGACTTCCCACTCAAAGTGTGGTTCATGAACCAGCAGCATGGACATCACTTGTGAGAAATGCAAAATCTCGGGCCCCACCCCAGACATAGGGAATCAGAATGATCTGCATTTTACCAGGACCCCCAGTGATTTGAGAAGCACTGGTCTTTAGGACAGGCTCATCCTTAAGTAAAGTAGGCAGATACTCAGATTGAGAGCAAAGACAAATTAAATCCCTGTGCCTGATCACCCCAGCCCTCTCAGAGTGGTTTCTGAAATTTTGATGTCAGAAACTGGTAATCTGATGATAATGATGATGATGATGATGATGATATTGAGGATGGTGATGATGGTGATATTGAAGATGATGATAAGGATACTGAGGATGGTGATGATGGGGATGCTGAGGATGGTGATGATGTTGATACTGAGGATGGTGATGACAGCTAACACTTACTGAACACCCACCATGTGCCAGGCACTGGGCAAAGCCTTGACATGCACAATATCTTAATTTTCCCAATACTGTATAAATGAGATAGTATTATTTTCATTTTAGAGATGGAGACATCAAGGCTTATAGACGTTAAATAACTCCTCCAAGGAAATACAAACAGAAGTGGTGGGGCCAAGATTCAGCCCTCATCCTTTTTACTTAGGGGTGACGTGATCAGATTGTCACAAGTTGTCAAAGCTAGTCTGGGAATCACAAACTGGGGGTCACAGGCCAGTTTGACTTGTGGGTATGCATTTTTCAGCCAAGGTAGTGGTGTCATTTTTCACCGAATGTCTTTCTTGAGGGACAAACTCATCCCAGTGGGTCCCAGTCCCTGTCACGCACGGCCTTGCAGATTTGACTTAATGCCTGGCCCCTGACTACACTGAGGCTAGCAATCCCCAGTGAAGATCAAGTATTCTTAAATTTCCTCTTTACAGTGCCTGGAAATTTTGAGCGTTATGAATACTTTCCAGAGATTCTTTAAAATAGCAAAGAGCCCTCGATCTCTAATCCATTCCTTTCACCTGATGAATGAAACTAACGTCCAGAAACAAAGTTATGTGTTTAAGTCACAAAGCAAGATAATATCCAGGTCTTCAACTGGGCTTTTCTGGCCCATAATCCAATGCCACAACCACTGACCTCCTTGAGTTTAGAAATCATTTATGCTTAATGTGAAACAGGTTCTTAACTAAAGTATGCTCCAGAAACATTTAGGTGGAATTTAATACAGATTCTCAGATGTCTCTCCTGTTCGTGTTACTAGGGAGTCAAATGCTTGTTTACCTGATGAGAATTATCAGATAAGGAACAGGTTCAGAATACAGGCTCGGCAGGGAGAAAGAAGTCCCTGGAGAGCTGATAAAGGTGGGACAGTGAGGCGCACGAGAGACAGAAAGCAGTGGGTGCAGTGAAACTCAGCCTTGCTGTACAACAGAACTGCCTGGGAAGATTTAAAACCTGCTGATGCCTGTTGGAGCAGGCAGACAGCTGGATATGAGCAGAGAAATGGGGGCACGGGCCAAGGGGCAGGAAACCACACATCATGTGAACAACGGAGGTCCTTGGGCAGACAGAGAAAAGCAGGAACCTCTGGACTGATGAGAGATCACACATTTGGGGGTGACAAGCATCCTGGAGGCCGATAAAGAAAGGTGGGAAAAGGCAGGAATCTCTGGCATCCCTGTGTAACCATTTGCTCATTATGCCCTTATTACAATAAAATTAGCCTTGCAGATCAGAGGTACCCATCATGCACCGAGGCCATGACACTTCTGATCCAGAATAAATAAGAACAAAAATCTCTCCTCCTCTAGCGAAGGTGGAGCTGGGATGAAAATCAGGGAACATGACCCCAAACCCTTCCCTCCCCAATGAATATTCCACCCATCCACTTTTACACCCTGTGTAATCAACTTGCGCAAGAAACTCAGGGCAGCTGCTCACCTGAGCCTGCCTGCTCTCCCCTTGAGAGCTTCCTATCCACCTCTTAATAAACCCCCACTCTACTTTCTTGACCTCCGTGTCTCATCTCTGAATTCTTTCTGTGATGAGAAAAGAACCTACACTTGGACCCCAACCCCCAAAGTTCCTGATATAATTGGTCCTGGGTATGGAGATTTTTTTAAGCTCTCCGAGTGGTTCTCCAGCTCAGCCAGGGCTGAGAATCTCCTGGAGAGGGGATTCTGAGATGCCAGAGGCTCGACACCAGCACTGCTTTCCTTGTGACTCCCCTGGGCTTGGCCCGTCAGCTGACTACCGAAGCGCCTACATTCCTTTCGTCTTTTCCCTGCCCTCTTCCTTTCTCCTTTAAGTAAGACGCCTTCGTGGGTGGAGAACAAAAATGATAGGAAACCAAGGTCTCGTTTCAGATACTGATGTGTTCACTTGTTTCCGCTGATCTGCCTCTGGCCGTGAAGCCTTCTCTTATCTCCTAAGGACGTGGTTCTCAGCATCAGCATCACCCGGGGAACTCGCTGGATCACCCGGGTCTACACCGTGTATAGTGCTGCTCCAGCCGTGTGGTCACGAGAGGCCGACTCTGCTATCCTGGAGAAGGGAGGAGGGACGGGGTCTGTGCGTCCTGATCACTCAGGTGTTGGTTGTCAAACAGCTGGGCTTCGAGGGTGCGGTGGGAGTGGGACTGTTGGGAGGAAGGCCCGCTGGCAGGTGTGGAGAGGAGGGGACCCAGGCCAGCTGAGAACAAATGGGGCGGGGACCATCCCCACAGCCCCCGTGAGGCCAACCAAGCTCCCTTCTTGCCTGTTAGGATGATCAAGAGGCTAAAAAGTGGAGCATGCAGTTAAAAAGGACAGGACTGAAATGAGATTTGAGGGAAGGTACCCCTTCTATCATGCATGTGGGACCCCCCCACCCCAAGCTGGTGCGGAGGGACCCCTGGCCCCTTGGGAGGGCGGAGCTCAGGGAAGGGTGAGCTGGCGGAGCAGGATGGGCGGCCAGGAGGGACCACCCGGCACCCCCGCCGCTAACGCTAAGCTGCCGGAGGGACCGGGGGTCAGATCCTTCAATGGCTCAGTTTACAGGAGAGGAAGCTGCAAGCAGACGAGCCCTGACCATGATCACAGTGCGTCAGAGGCAGAGCTGAGGCCGGGGCTCCCGAGGGAGCTGGGTGCCCGGAAGAGGAAAGCCACCAGAGAGGAGTGGGGTTCCAGCGAGAGGCTGTCTAACAGAGAGAGCAAACATTTAGGCTGCGCCATCTTGCCCCCAGGGCGGTGCTAAAGCGCTATGTGACATTCTGATTCCCTGACTCCCCCCACCACCTGTGATCCTCGCCATCAATTTCGCAATGTACACATGTGGACACGGAGGTGTCCGGAGGCTGGAAAGAAACTGCGTGATTTATTTCATTATAATCAAGGGTAAAATGATCTTTTTTTAAAGAATCATGCCCAGTTTTTAGCATTACTTCCCAGGAATGAAGCAAGGGATAAAGGTAAGTTAACACGTCCTGTTGATTACAGGCAAGCTGCTGGCCACCGGGTGGGTGATCTCTGTCCAGTGGTACTCCTCCGCTGGAGTATAGGATTTTGAAAAGACGGTTACCACGAGAACACATGCGTGACATCACACAGAAACAGGCACAGTCAGGACATGAACTCGGACCCTTTAGCCTCCAGGACTCACTTAACCCCACTCTGCCTGCCTCTCCTCCAAGACGGCAGCGCAGGTGGAAGCTTCACCAGCACTAACAGCCCAGACGTTAGGAAAGTTACACGTGCCTCAGAAGAGAAAGCATGCCATCTCAGGGTGCCCCATGTCCTTCCAAAGAGAAGCCTCTGATCTCAGTGCACATCCGGAGGTGGTGACAGACCCTCTGACTCGCTCCTTTCCTCTTACTCGATTCCACATCTGCTCTGCCTGTCACCTCAGATCACAGAAGATTCTTAGAAACCCTCTGACTCAGCCCCCTTTTTTGGCAGAGAAACCAAAACCCCAAAATGTCAAAGTCACCTTTACACAGGCAGAGAAGGTCACACAGATGAGGAAAGTCCCCTGGAGGAGGCATCTAAGGTCCAGAGACATCAGAAAAGTCTCCTGAGGTTCCTTCCAGAAAAGACAGCGCCCAGGTGTCCTGACTCCAAGTCCCTCGCTCCCTCCCCTCTTACCTGCAGCTCCGCATCCTTCACCTGGTGCTTCTCCCCAGGGAGGGCTGCCAGGCCTATCACCTTCAGTGGAAGCTCAGCAGACGGGCAGGAATTTATATCTCCGTTGTCCAGGGATTTCCCAATCGGGTCTGTGTCACTCCTCCGACTGGCTGGCTGCGAACACACCTTTTCCCTCCTCGCTGGAGCGCCCTCCGGGCTGCCGTGCTGGGTATGTGATCACTCAGATGGGGAAGTGGCCAAGGAAATTCTGTGTAAGTTTCCCTATTTTTTGTGACTCGCTAAAACTTACGTACTTCCAGCTGAGAGGTGGTTTTAAAGTGATGTGGACTTTGCCCGACCCTGTGAAAGAAAAAAGGAGGTCTTGGGGCTTTACTGGGTGAGAGCTGATGTTTCCCCCACAGAACCCCACTCCCAGTCTTACAGGAATTTTAATTGTCAGTGAAGGAAGGGGCTCTTTCTCCAAATCTTTATTCCAGTTTGTGGAAAGTGGCTAACTCAATCATTCGCACCCTGGAGATGGAAACTCAGTCCTAAACCATGTCTGTATAAAACGAATGTCTCCCAACTGCGCAACAGACCCAAAGGCAAAATCGAAATTGCCTCTCCCCCCTCACCAGCAGCCCGGGGAGCGAGAGAGGTCAGAGCCCAGAGCGGGTGAGCCTGGCCTGCGGGTGCTGTGGGAGCTTGCATAGACTTCTGCTGGGGGATGGAGAACACTTCTCCAAACGTGCTGAAAAAAAATCCATGTTACTAACCCTAATGACATGTTCCATCTGATTTATTCAGAGATTGAGGCTCTTACCAGTGAAAAGGCAGATACAGAAACTCTTAGAGAAATCAGGAATTTCATCCCCAGAGCAAATGACTCATAGTCAAAAGGACCCAATGACCCTGGTTTTATCCCTCTGCTAACAAGGAAGGTAACTCTCAGGGGCCACAACTCAGATGGGTAAAGAAAATCTGAGAAAGACTCAATGTCGGTGCTAGATGGAAACTTAGAGCTGGTCAAATCCATCCTGCAGTTTAAAGGAGAGCAAACTGACGTCCAGGCGCGTCAGGGAGGGGGGCACAGGTGCGTTTGCTGGATTAATTTAGTGCGTGTATAGCTTTGTGACGGGCATGCTTTTGTAAAGGCTGGGAATATCTCCAAAACAGAGCGTGCTGGGCAAAGCGTAAATGTCACATTGTATCCATGTTTATTCTTTTCCCAAGGGCCAACTGAAGTGGAATATTTGTTTCTGTTCCATAATTTTGACACAGTAAGATTAAAGAGTGAGCTGCACATTTGGGGTCAAGTTAAGTAAGTTTCAAGGGTGTGAATTCACCCAAAGCAGGTGGATCTCACCAAATACCATCATCATCCCAGGATGAGGGGCATGCAAATACTGAGTGGCACGAAATAGCACAGGGCAGCCCACATTAATAGAGCCAAGGAGAGGAAGTGAAACCACGCAATCCGCCTTTGGCCACTCTGCAGGGTAACTGCTCATCTTGTGATCCAGCCAGAGGAATTTACATAACCTCACTTTTTTCGATGGGAAAACTGGATCTGAAAGCCTCAAGCACTGTTTGAATAGTCTTTTCAAAAATGACTCCTCCAAAAGTAAGTCCCCAGACCTGCGGCCACACGGACAGACCTCGTTTTACTCCGATTTGTATTATTACGCTTCGCAGCCACTACATTGATTACAAATTGAAGACGTGGGGCGGTTTTGCTGGGAGCAAGTCTATTGGCGCCATTTTTCCAAGAGCGTTTGCTCCCTTGGTGTCTGTTTCACATTTTGGTAATTCTCACAGTATGTCAAGCCTTTTTATTATTACTATATTTGTGATGATGAACTGTGATCTTTGACGTTACCATTGCAAGAAGCTCATGACACACTGAAGACTCACATGATGGTTAGCATTTCTTAGCAATAAAGTATTTTTTCAATTAAGGTATGTACATTTTTTTAGACATAATGCTATTATTGCACACGTAACAGTGTAAGCATGACTTTTTGGAAACAAAAATATTCGTGTGACTCACTTCATTGCGATATCCGCTTTATCGCGCTGGTCCAGAACTGAACCTGCAGTAGCTCCAAGGCAATGTTCCCTGCGTCCCTCCATCCCCTGCAGGGCCTCCACGGACCTGCTCCCACTATCACACCAGCATCAGTTCAATTTCTCCACCAACTGATGGGAAATAAACAAGGCACAGAATGTTCTGTGGTATCTCGAAATCCTCTGAGGTTTGAGGTGAAAGTCACCCAGGATGTTTATTGCAAGGGTGGAAGCAATGAGTCTTCGTTTTTCAGACCCAGGCGGCCTTTTTCAAACTCTGGTCTGATTCAGACATGAACAGCATCCTCTGAAAACCCTGTGATGAGTTCCTTCCCTGTGATGTGGAGGAGAGGGTACGGGGAGGTGAGGAAGGCACTGGAGGTGAGGACAGGGTGCATCAACGCAGGCTACTTGTCCCTGGTTTCACGGGACAGCCTGCCAGGTTATCCCCAGAAATTCACCCCTTCTTATCAGATCAGAGTTCTTTCATTTTGATTCAAGAAAATATGGTTATAGAACCTAGAGGATCAATTTAGCAATCAGACCCCATGACATTGAAAATGCTAAGCCTGCTTCAGGCATCGGGATCAGAACAGGAAAAAATCTGCCTGATGCGTAGAGTCAGGAAGAAAGCCATTCCCTTCCTAGAAATTACTTACAAACAAACATTCTAGAGAGGAAAACAGCTGCTGCTAGTGGACTCCGGTCTCCTCATCTGTGACAAGAGGGCGCTGAGGTCAGTGAGCTCTGTATCTGTGTTGCCTTTTGCCGCTGTAACAAGTTACCACCAGCAGTGACCTAAAACGCCACCACTGCGCCCCTTCTGAAGGCTCCCGGGGAAAATCCTTTTCTCACATTTTCCGTCTCCTACAGGCTGACCTCATCCCTGGCCTGCGGCCCCCGGCACATGGCCCCTTTCTCCCCTGCTCCCATCAGCACATGGCTTTTCCCCTTTGACCCTCTTGCCTCCCCGGATGAGGACTCCCGTGACTCTATCTGGGGCCCACCTGAATAATCCATGATAATCTCCCCACCTGAAAATCCACAGCTTAATCACGCCTGCAAACTCCCTTTCGCCATCTAAGGTACCAGGATCACGGCTTCCAGGGATCAGGACATTGGCATGTTTAGGGGACCATGACTCAGCCTCCCATAAGCTCGAAGTTTCCTTCCAGTTCTCAGAGTCCGCGCCTTAATGACGCTGGGGCTATGGAAGAGACTTTATTCAATTCAGAGAACATCAATCCTCCTTGTGGAAAGGCCTGTTCTTTCCAGGCCCTCCTTGGCTTCCTTCCCCTCCCCTTGGTTTCACTGAGACACCGGAAGGAATGAGAACTCTAAGGTCCACCAGGGGACCCAGAGCATGGACAAGGCTGGCTGAACGCTCATCCCATGTCATGCTTACGCATGGGACCCCACCTCCCCGACTCCCCGCCCCACTGCCATTGGATGCCCCAGAGCTCCCCGCCCCACATCGTCCTCCCAGACCACCAGGCCCTCCTCTGCCAAGGGCTAAGGGGGCTCCAGCAGGCCCTGCCCGCTCTGATCCCAGGCCCACTGTCCCCCCTGCCCCTACCTCCCTCTGCCCTGCCCTCCGCCTCTGGGTGGGGGCCGCGCCAGCACCAGCACCAGCGCCAGCGCCAGCAACATGGCCTGTCCTAGAAGCCACCTCCCAAGGCACTGCCAGGCCACTCTCTGACGTGGAGCTGAGCTCTCTACTCTGGGGTGGGGAGGGGGGTGCAGAGACATTCCTTTCCCTTAGAGCCAGAAAGAGGAGGTTTTCTTGTCACAGAGACTCGATTGCTGTAATAAGCAATGCGATGATTATTCACCATGCCATGAGTCTGCTGCTGAGAACCAGCCCGCGTGTCCGCTCACCAAGGGTGGTGGGAAGGCGCCACTTCCCAAAGCCTCCCAGTCTGGTCCTAATGGAAAGAGACGTTCCCAAATCTGGCCACCCCCCACCAAGCATCTCACCACCTCCCACCCTGGTACCCCGCAACCCGGCTTCCGCAAACCCTCCAGCCTCCAGGCACCTCTTCCCTTGAGTCATGGGACCTCACTCTGCTTTCTAATAACCGCTCAGTGACACACAGAACGTTCTGCGCCGCTGACATCTGAGCGCCGCGCTTCTGGGAAGCGGTGATGGTGCCTGGATCGCCCTGCCGGGCCCAGACGCACCCGCGGCCTTCTCATCCGCCTGTCAGGTTACATAAGCCGCCCAGAAACCCCGCCTGGCACGGTCACCCGCCAGCCCTCCCGACAGGTGTGCAAACTGCATGCAGGGCCCAACTCTGACTTGTCTTCCAGACACTCAGGGCCCCAGGGCAGGCGGTCACAGGCGGGCTCAGCGGGCTTGGCAGCGGGAAGGAGGGCCTCGGGCAAAGTGAGTCTCAAAGAAGATCGCAGTTCCTCATCGCCCTTTCACAGGAGATGCCGCTCTGTGTGTTCACCCAGTCACCCCACCTTGCCCGGCACTGTCAGCGTTAGTATATTTGCCCCTGGGGCTTATGGGGGGTCAGTGACCTCAGGCTGCTGCCGCCAGCTCTGGTCCACGATCTGTGAGCAGTGGACCCCCAGAGAGGAAGAGGAAGGGGCCTGGGAGACACTAGCTGAGCTTGGAGGACGGAGGCAGTTACACACCAGCACGCAGTTCATGGACTGGATGGTGCTTTTAGGAAAGAGACCTTAATCCACAGCTCAGTGCCAACAACTCCCCATTTCTCTGCAAACCCCCCTGGATTAACCAAGTCTTTCATTAACCAGGTCTGTGTTCTAGCTTTGCCATCTGGTGCCCCCCTGGGCCCCTCCAAGGGCTAGCCAGTTCCTAGAGACACCAAAAGACTCGCCTGCAAGCATGCCTCTCAAAATACAAAGCAGCCCAGAGCGCACACCCCAGCCACCCCCAAATGTGTCCACGTGTCTAGTTCCCCACTTGGGGGGGTCCATCCCTCCTCAGACAGAACACCTTTGGAAGCATTCTTACCTCCTTTGGGTTGAGAAAAGAAGATAAAAATCTTTTTTTTTTAAAAGAAGAATTAAAAATACTTTTTTTTTTTATTTCCCCTACTCTCGACCAGCCTCTCCCAGAGCTGGGCAAGGGGCAGACCAGTACAACAGGAAAATCAGTTCCCTGGCTGGAGAAAGGGTCCACAGGCAGCAG